GCAGCAGCAGCAGCAGCAGCAGGAGCAGCAGCAGCAGCAGCAAGAGCAGCAGCAGAAGATGGGATCTGTGGAGCAGCTGCAGCGCCAGCTGGGTGGTTTTGACTTTAGCAACCACAGCAGGAACGTATCGTTGCTGCTGGGAGCAGCAGCAGCAGCAGCAGGAGGGTGTCCTAGCTCATCATCATCAGCAGCACCAGCAGCAGCAGCAGCAGCAGCAGCAGCAGCAGCAGCAGGAATAAGAGCATCAGGGGGTTCATACTGTATGCCATCTGTACTGAAGACTGGAACAACAATATGTGGTGTGGTGTTTATTGGTGGGGTTGTTCTCGGTGCCGATACAAGAGCTACAGAGGGCCCAGTTGTTGCCGATAAAGAATGTAATAAACTACATAAAATAAGTAATAATATATATGCTGCTGGCGCTGGCACTGCAGCAGACCTCGATCATATGTGTGACTGGCTGGCTAGCCAGGTTGAGCTACATAGACTCAATACTTTCGCTAAAGTATAACACAAACCCTAAACCCTAAACCCTAAACCCTAAACCCTAAACCCTAGTTTGTATACACTTCCTTTCCCGACATAAAATATAAACCCTAATCAATTAAAACTTCTTCTTATATACCGTAATAACACAGAAAGTAAAATGTAGAGAGAGAACCAATAGAAACCATGGGCGAGGGTTTAGGGTTTAGGGTTTAGGGTTTAGGGTTTGGTGGTGATGCAGAGACCTCGCGTTTCTATGGCGGTTTGCGTGCTGAGCCAAGAGCTGTTCAAGTATCAGGTAAGCAAACCCTAAACCCTAAATAACTAAACCCTAAACCCTAAATAACTAAACCTAAACCCTAAATAAGTAAACCCTAAACCCTAGATATGCAAACCCTAAACGCTAAATAAGTAAACTATAAACCCTATACAGCAACAGCTGGATCACCAGCAGCAGCTACAGCAGCAGCAGCTACAGCAGCAGCAGCATCAGCTACAGCAGCAACAGCAGTAGCAGCAACTTTCCTATCAACGGATACAGCAGTAGCACCATGAGCATTGCCTTCATCAGCAATAGCAACAGCACTTATATATATATATATATATATATA